TGTAACGTGAATTTTTCTCATGCATAAAATTCTTTTTTAGCTATTGTCGATTCAATGCTAAGAATTAAAGTGTTTTACCTTTAAATACAAATTCAAAGTATCTACATCTAATGTCTCGATATTTGAGGTTTGACTTTTTCTTCAAAGCAATTTGACGCGACTGCTCAATTTTTGTCTTTATGTCCATCAATTGCCAATTTTGTCTTCATATCGATCATCAATTGCAAGTTTCTTAATCTCGATCTTTTTGTCTTCAATTTTATCGAGTTTGCAATAATCACTATAAACACTCAAATTCTTGTTATAAATAAATGCAATGTGTTTGTGATAATCAAATCGATAAATCAATCATAGATCAACATGTGTATGGTTCTGCACTATGTCTCTAAAATTTGTTATGTGGGCATTCAAAATCGCTGGTCTGGGGATTCGAGCTGCACATATTTTACTTTCGCACCCCTGAATTTCTTGTATATCCCATTTTGATTATACTTTTAAATTTGAAACTTTGGATTTTTATTTGGTTTCGTAGAATAATTTTACAAGCATACTCTCAGTTGCCTGTGTTTTCTTTGATTAGTTATTGGATTTATGTTTGAACTTGTATATTCTCTATTTATGGCAATGGTAGTTATGATTGTTGTATAATAGGTAGAGATTGTGATAGTAGTGGTGGCTGCGATTTGTTGTTTGTTGTGGTGGCCATAAACATGTAGAGACTATACCATAGTCGGTTTGTTGAAGGTGTTAGTGGAAGTGATAGTATTGGTGATTGTTGTTGTGGACTTAAGGTGAAGGTGGTATTTATAGTCATTGATTAGAGTTGAAAGTGGTAGTGGTGGTGCATTAGAGGTGATGGTAGTAGTGATTGGTGATGGATTGTAGTACTGGTCTGTGGGAGGAAATAAGTGGAAATGGACGGTTGACCCAGCCATATTTTCATATTGACCTTTGACCAATTAAAAAAAATAGTGAAAAATGAATTTAGATAAATAAATTACAAACTCCCCATTTTGCCCACATCTTCAACAAACCAAAAAAGAGTGAGAGGTTGGATACGATCGAGTTTCAACATCCTCATACCACCACCATAAAACTCGCACATTAACTTCAACAATGTCAAGATTTTTTGGGTATAAGCTATTGATTTTTCATTTGGCATGTTTTGTGAATGTGTATTAAATTGTTATGTATGATTTTTATTTTTCATTACCAGGCAGAGTATTGGGTATAGATACTGTGTTTGGCAAACAAACGTGTTTAGCTCGTTGGAGATGGTGAGAAATTGCCATTTTCGACAAGCAATCAGTGAAAACTAACTGTGTGAAGACGGGATGGGGCAGATTGTTTTCGACCTAATATTTTTTCTGATTTTTTTAATTTTTTTTCTTTTTCCTTTTTTTTCTTTTTTTTCTTTTTCGTTTTTTTTTCCTTTTCTTTTTTACCCTTTTTTTCCTTTTTTTTTTCCTTTCCTTTGTTTCCCTTTTTTTTCTTTTTTTTTTTCTTTTTTTGTTTTTTTAAAGGACTATTTGGCCCAGTCCTGTTTGAGCCAAAGAGTCGGCCCTTTTTTTATTTTTTTCTTTTACTTTTCTTTTTCCCCCCTTCCTTCCTCTTTTTTTTCCTTCCAATTTTAATTGAAAATTTTTATAGAACTTGTTAAAAATTTTTGTATTTAATTCATATAGTCTTTTATTAATTTCGATGTAAAATGAATTTACATCTTGTGTATAATAATTACAATTAGATTACCTTAATTTTTTGAGATTATGCTTTATTCCGTTATTTCTTATTCAATATTCGAATATTTGAATTTTTGTAGGATGGAATATCATCTAGATGAAGAATTGAGATAGAAGTAGCTTTGATAGTTTCACTACAGTGTTGGAGCTGTCGGATGATCAACATGCAAATATTCTACGCCAGTCATTCCTTTGCCCATATATCAGTTGAGGGAGGTACATTACTCCGAACATATCATCGATGTACTACTTTATCGACTGCTCAGGCTAGTCAATGGCGGTGCCTACCATTTTGTCCTCAGAGGCAAGGTGCTACGTTCTCCTTGTTCAAGTTTGCCCTGATGATCGGACTAAAGATTACAAGGGATGAAATAGCTCGTGACGGTACTCAGAGAAGCAACAGGCTGCATGACGATTATTTTTAAGGATAGGGGACGGTGCTTTTACCATAGTTGATTGACGCAATTAGGAGTGTGACTAGATATTAGACAGACTAAAGCTAGGTTTGGTCTTCATCTTTAAAAGTGTGGTGCGGTGTCATCACAAAAAAACTGTGATCGACCTCTTCCATCTGGAGATCATCGACGATATCGATGCCTTCAACAACAATTGGTGAGGGCGGAGATGTTTTAGGATTCCGTACACGTCTTCATAGATCACACTCGAAGCTCAAGGAGTCCATGCGTAGGTATGATGCCTACAAAAATTGCCCCTAACAATGTAGGTAAATGTTTAACATAATCAATGTTAAAAAAATTTTTTATTGAATTTATATATAATGGTTGTATATGTTGCATATATGAGTGTATGAGACCATTTCCTATTGAGTACCCCCTTTGCAAAGTGATTAAAGACATGCTGCCAAGGGATGCATCATTAGCGAGTATACCAAGCGAACAAATGTCCTTCTGGGAAATAAATATCGGCTCTCCTCGACAACCCTCGTGTGAGTATTATACATTTATGATTTATATTTTATGTAATTTAAAATCTCAATACATGATCATTAATCATTTGAAATATCAATATATTAGCTTGACGTCATAATTGATTTGACGTCGTCGATGAAGAAGGAGTAGATGTCTTATGTGTGAATTAGTCGTTCCATACACTGAAGACGACAAGATGTCATATTCAATCTTAGATCGAGATTGGGTATGTGAATTAAATATAATTTCTTGATTACCATTTTGTATGAGTTAGCAATTATTAATTAAGTTAAATAACTTTGAATATTGTTATTTGTGTAGGAGCGCGGTCTAGTTGATCGACAATCTGTCCAACAGGGCATCACCTCCATCGAGGAGATATCCTTTTTTTATGGAGGATGTCGGTGCGCTGTAATGAAAGTTGATAGGATTTATAGTGGAGGAGGTCAGCGTGCTGCGATGAGAGTTGATAGGAAGGGTCAACAATTTGGGACGATAGTTGGTAAGAAAGGTTGATGACATATCCTACGATGTTTGAGTGCTATGTGGCCATTATGTATACTTTCATGATAAGATCGTAGCACTCCGTGATGATATAGCAGGCAGGTGATGGGGCACCGAAGAACAATTGTGGTTAGATGATGTATTATAATTGTTTTTTATTATCTGTGGAGAGGGTGTGGGTGGCCCCATCTAGTATGGGAGAGGTGGTGAAAGAGGAGACGATGGAGGGAGTGGCGAGCCTCGAGGAGGTGGCGGTCTTCGAGATGGAGGAGGTGGCAAGCTTGGAGAAGGTGGTGGTCTTTGGGGCGGAGGAAGAGACGACGCCCACCTTGACTGAGGCTAAGAAGCATGTTGTTGACGTGCCGGAGAAAGTGGTCGGCAAGAGACCGAGATTGCCATCATAGTACTCCCAATCTTTTTGGGAGGTGGACCATGCCAAGTGGAAATCGTTCGAGATGAAGTGGAAAAAAATGTTGCCTGGATAAGTATTGTATAATTTTAATAAAGTACGTAGTGCTAACTCATATATGCTTCTTTTAACATTTTCTCTGTTTTTTCAGTGTTAGCCGCACGATAGCTCAAATGAAGATATTAGACACTTACAAGTGGTTCTATGACATCACCAATTCGGGGAAGTGGCTCGCCAACGATGTAAGCGAGATAGTCATATTGTAATTTTTTTTGTATACATAATATTTTATTTATTAAATGAAATAGGTTCCTCTTTTTTATGTTTTTTGATGTAGCACATCAATCTGGCCATGGGCTTATTGCACTATTAAGTTGAAAGATATCCAAAATCATTTCACATTTTTGGCCTAATAATACTGAATACCGAGTTCGTCTGTGCTATTATCACTAAGTGTCAATCGCTCCAACTTATGGGCGACAAGTAAACAGTGCTTGATTATATGCTCGAGTGGGTCATCGGGATGTCATCGAGTGTCGAGGGAAAACCATGGGAAGGTTGTACGCATATGTACATTTCAGTGATCGCGAATCATCACTGCATTGCTGTAGAGATCGTCTTCGCTGAGTCTACTATATATATGTACGACATCAATTATTCATGTTTGACACAGGGTCATCTCGAGCAAAACTTAAAGTCGGTGACTGTTATCATTCCTCTGATGATTAGACAAGCGAGGATATTTTTGCAAGACAAACTAGTCATCGTGCGAGACACGATGACGACAAGACAGTCCATATCGTAATTGTTTATAATTTTTCTTTTTTGAAATTTATAAATTAGTTCTTAGCTACACGTAGGGATGGCAATCAAGCTCGTCGACTTGGACCTCCCGTAGCTTGGCCCGAAAAAAGCTCGAGCCCGCCTGGCTCGAGGCTTCGACGAAACCCCATTTTTAGGTGTCGGTGAAAGCTCGAGCTAGCCCGTGTGGCTCGCCGGCTCAGGAGAACCGAGCATTTTAGTTGTTGCCATTGTTTGGCAACAACCTACTGCCTTTTTAATTATAAATAAAAAAACCAAACAAAGCTCGAGACGAAAGCTCGGATCGAGCCTAATTTTTTTGTCGAACTTTTGCTCGAGTCTAGAATAAAGCTCGAACATTTTACCCGAACCTAAAATTTCAACTCGCGAGCCAACTCGACTCGTTGACATCCCTAGCTACATGGTACAGAACTAACACATTATTATTCAATTCAAATTTTGAGTATAGCACATAAAATTGATAGAATCAACCAAATGTTGCGAAGACACTTTCGGCAATGTTTAAAAAACGTTGCCGTAAGTGTTTCACAACGGTTTTTTGTTATTAATGTTATGTAAATTGACTCGCAAAATTGAAAATGACAAATTTTGGAATTGTATAAAAATTAATAATTTCATTACAAATTTTTGAATACATAATATGAAGCATGATAGTATTCTCCTATGCACTTGAATATATAATGTAAAAAATGCAAGCATGCTATTGAAAAACATAACCAACTTCTCCTCATCTAATTCATATTGAAAAACTTGGTTCTTAATATCATTAACTTCCAAACCGTTTCTACCATCGTTTGGTTCAGCAGATGTAGATGCCACGGACAGCCCATTACAGAAAAGCCTCTGCTGCAAGCTCAACAAAGCCCTCTATGCCTTTCTATGCTGCCTGGCTTGCTCAATCGTGTCTGTGTGAGGGTAGGAAAGTCTTTCATTCCACATGGCAGAGTGTATATAAGTGTGAGGATCGGGAAATGCAGGCAACCACTCTGGAATATGTTTAAAAACCAGGTGTCTCACGCATTTGCAAGAAACTTGGTATAAGTCTCCATTCTCTGACCACCGGAAAATGTGGAACTGGCTGTGCAAAGGGTGTCTCCTCAGCTGACTCCACATACCTTTGAATCTCTGTTACTACATCCGAGTTAATTGCACAATTAAAACCAACCTCTAAAGCATCTGAAAATCCTGTCGACATGCCCAAATCCTCCAACCCTTGAATTATATCGAACACGTTACATTCAGTCCTAACAGCTAAATTTGAATAAAAATTCAGTCCTACAAGCATGCCTAATTTATAAGTTCTTAACATGTAAGTAAATTTAAGTAGTTAAATGTAAATAAGTTCTTAACATGATATAGATTAGAAGTAGCCTAATTTTTCTGTTAGCTTAAAGCCATTATTGGGGTTGGGGGGCATCAATTACTGCTTAAAGGTAGTGAACCTCGGATAAATTAGCAATTGAAATACAATAAATCAAGGAGTAATGAACAAGACTCAAAGTAGTAGACATGAAGCTAGTTTATGAGCCAGGTGTGAAAATACAAGTACCACAACCAAATCCGAACAACAATGCTACAATATCCAAACAGATTAGATGTTCATAAACCAGAAAGAGAAGAGAAATAAAAATTGCTTCATACAACCTTGGAGCAACACAAGCCTTGACATAACCAATTGAATAGTAAAAAAAGGTGATTGGTAAGCATTAATCAGATCCGCAACATACGGATTCTGATTTGAATTGAAAGATTTCTGATTTTTTTGTGTTCTTCAATTCAACTTTGAGATATAACAAAAATTCCCGTTTCTAACCAAGTCAATATATTTTCAACTTAATTATGTTCATTGCAAAGGTTAAAGAAGTATACAGATCAGAAATCATTGAATAAAAACTCTGAACTATTTAACAATTTTTACCAAAAAGAAACTATTAATAAAAATCATTCAACCACCCCCAAACATTGAACTTAAATAATCCAATTCATTTCTTGATACCTAAATCAAGTTTGGAGTCGAATTTGCTACAGTCAAAAAAGGAAATATAATCCAATCTGGCCTAGAAAATTTATAAAATAACGCACAGAAAAAATAAAATCAAACAGGTGAAATAGAAAAGGGGGAACTCATAAATTAATTCATCAACACCTAATCACAAACAAATGGCTTAAAACTCAAAAAGTCATAAAGAAATAAGCACTTAATCTAGAAGGGTTTTAAAATCAATTATAGATAAATCAAAGTGATCACAAACTCCAGGCTTGGGGGGTAGGGGCAGTATCCAATGAGGTATGAACTTCAGGCTTGAGGCTCCACCGCTCCATTAGCTTCTGAGATTGAGTTCTTCTACCTGCAAATCAACAAATGAATTTTATAAGAATCACCAAACTATTCATCTTGACTTTAGGCTCAAATCAAATCAAATCAAAATAACAAATAAAAAGAAAGTTCGACGAAAGGGCCTCCGGCTTCACTTGTTCAATGGTTAAGATTAAAGCACCTATGAGTTAAAAGCTCAATGATAATTCGCCCTGCAACATGGAGAAAACATATTACATGAAAAAATTCTCCAAGCAAGATTCAAACACTTAATACATAAAGGTCAAACCTCATTTCATCAACAAGAACTCTGCCTGCATAGACAAAACACCGATAAACTAGTGCAAAGTGCAAAGTGTAAAGAACAAGCCTGTCTAGCAGACAAAATATTCCCTGTTGGAACAACATTGGCAAGCCTGCTAGTGCAATGAAGCACAACAGCAGGAAAGCTTGGAGCAATATTCCTCCATGCATCATCACGAAATGCCCTCTGCAAATCTGCAGCAAATGAAGCCTGCTCACTCCACGACTTGACAGCCGTATCAGGTACTCTCAACTCAATCATCCTCTCCACCAGCCACAGCAAATGCTTCCCGTTAGTCATAGTAGAATGCAAATTCAGCCTCTAAATCGCCTTAGTCTCATTATATCCTCTCTAAAATTAGGACTCTTTCGATTCTTCATTACTTAAAAAATTCAATCAAATTCAATATTTTTCTCTCTTCATCTGCTGATCACGGCACGGCCTCGAGGAATTTAACGCAGGCTTTGATGCAATCTTCGAAGAGTAATTCGAGCGCTATGGGGAGTAAAGCAAGGGCAGTCACAACACTACTAATCAAAGTCGAGAAATCATCAGTATACAGAAGCCGGAGAACTTCCAAGTAGTCGTTGATTGAATCCGGCGTCGACGGGACACCAAGGTTAAGGCGGTGGATTTGAGGAGAATCATCGTCGTTGTGTCGTTGTCATCGGTCGGAGAGTAGAGCGGAAAAATACTTAGCCTGTCGGAGGATGTGCGAGTGGAGATAGATCTGCAAATCAGATTCGTCAAAGGAGACAGAATCGGAAGAGGTCCCAAACGAGTCGAAGGGGGAGCGATGATGAATAAGATGGAGGCGAAGAATAACATCTGCGATATCGGAATCAATGAATCGGCCACAGCCACCAGAACTGCCGAGGACGGAGGAGGAGGAGGAGGAGCGATGGAGGGTGGGGGATTTGTGGGAGCCTTCAGTTAATACTTTATATTTCATCGGGGATTTGGAAATAATAGCATGTTTGATTGTCATAAAAAAATATTATCTAAAAAAAATATTTTTTAAATTTTGTGAAAAATAAAAATACCTCTATCCAAGAAAAATTAGACATATTTTCAAAAGTTTGAAAAATATTTTCCATAAAAAAAAAATCAATCAAACACTCCAAGTAAGAATTTGAATGAAAAATTGATATTTTTCATGAAAAATAAATATAATCAAACATATCATAAAATAACAGTGAACTGAAATATTTGAGTACACCGGAGAAAACAATGGTTAGAATAAAAGTGAAATAACAAAAATTTTAGAGGGAAATAGAAAGATTTTGGTCAATTTGGTGGGAAGGGAAAATTTTAATTAGGAAAGTGTAAAAATTGGTTATTTTGAATTTTCTTGTAATTTTTTTTTTAAATGTTTAAAGTACGTTTATACCCCCATTCTCTGGAATAAAATATGTTTTGTAATATTGATTTTTTTTTTTTAAAGAAATTGTGATGAAAAATTAGGAAAAGAATTTCAGTAGAAAAATGTTTAATAAATGCTTAATTATTTTTGTTTCAAAATATATTCCGACGGATTTTTTTCCATTGGTAACTATTTAATAAATTATTATTTACACTTAAACAGTTTACTAACAAATTTTCTCCGTTGCTACTTATTTTATTATTTTGTATAGTTTCCAAAGGAAACATCCATTGGAAAATCCGTTGACAAATTATTAATTTATTTTTTATTTATACTTTACTTTTTTACCAACAAATTAGACACGAAATTTTACTAATGAAAAACTTTCGTCGGTAATTTTGTTAGCAATTTAATATGTAATTTTTAAAAATGAAAAGGAAAACAAAAAAAAAAGAAAGAAAAAAAGAGAAAAGGAATTTCTAAAACTATCATAATGAAGTTTTTACCCTGGCAAAGCCTTCTGCAGTACAAATCTGAGTTCCGAAGAGGATAGTGACCTTCTTCAACTTCCTCTGGCTCCACCGCTGCTTCAGGCACTACCATTTTATGCACGATGCCAGTAATTAACAGAGAGGGTGCTTCTAGCATGTAGCTTGGAATTACAAACAGTAAAAAATATGCACATTTTGATGCAACATTGGGAATTAGAAGCATTGGAGAAATACGAGGAAATCTAATTTTGTATTCTATAAATATCATGGCATTAATGCATATGTATCCCTACAAATTAACGCATATCTTGTGATTTCTAGATGATGGATCAGATCGGGTCGAGCGGTTCCAGTCAGTTTTCATGGGTCAACCCATGACCCGAACCAACTCGACCTGCAGGGGTCACCCATAAATCGAACCCAATTGTAATATTAAAATTTTGGATCTTTTGGTGTTCTTTTCGCTTTGTTTCCATGAAAATTGTCAATTAAATTGATAGAATTTGTTACAATTGGGGATAGAATTTGTTTCAATTACAAAAAATAAAAATAAAAATAAATAAATAAATGATGATGATGATAATAATAATAATAACCTGAAAAACTAAAAACCACCTCTTACCGTGATCAAGACGTGAAGGAGAAATTGTGGATCGAAGAAAGAGAGAAATTAGTTAATATAATTGAGTTTTGACAATATTTTAAAAGTAAATGTTGCCAATATTACTTTTCGCAACGTTGCGAAAAGTTTTATTTTTTGCAACGTTTAAATAAGTAAAACGTTGTCAAAAGTTAGACTTTTTGCAATGTTTTCTGAACGTTGCGAAAAGTTTTATTTTTTGCAACGTTTAAAAAAATAAAACGTTGTCAAAAGTTAGACTTTTTGCAATGTTTTCTAAATGTTGCAAAGTTACTTTTCGCAACATTTTTTATTCTTTGCAACGTTTAAAACAAAATATGGTATTTTGCAACGCTTTTTAAACGTTGCCAAAAGTTAGACTTTGTGTAACGTTTTCTGAGCGTTGCAAAAAAACTATATTTTTCAACACACCAAAACGTTGCAAAATATGGCCAAAAAGTTGAAAAAAGTTAAACTTCTTGCAATATTTTCTGAACATTCCAAAAAATAATTTTTTTTGCAACATTCAGAAGACGTTGCGAAAAGTAACATTGGCAATATTTTAAATGTTGATAAAACTCAAATACATTAATTAATTGCAACATTCATTTATTAAAATGTTGCAATAGATCCCTATAGCAATATTTAACTATCGAATGTTGTCTTTTATGTATTGCAAATAATCATTTTTGGTATAGTGTGTTGAAATTTTTTTATAAGTAGGGTGGACGAAGTGTGGTGGGGGTGAGATATTATGGGTCAACCCATGACCCGACCCAACTCGACTTGCTGGGAGCACCCAAAAATCAAACCCTTTTGTAAAATTGAATTTTTGGATCTTTTGGTGTTCTTTTCGCTTTGCTTTCCATGGAAATTGTCAATTAAATTTATAGAATTTGTTACCATTGAGGATAAAAATTGTTTCAATTGTAAAATAATAAATAATAATAATAATAGACAAATAAATGAAACCTGAAAAACTAAAAACTACCTCTTACCATGATCAAGACATGAATGAGAAATTGTGATTGAAGAAAAGAGAGAAATTAGTTAATGTAATTGAGTTTTGACAATATTTTAAAATAAATGTTGTCAATGTTACTTTTTGCAACGTTTTTTTTAACGTCGCAAAAAGTTTTATTTTTTGCAACGTTTAAAAAACGTAAAACGTTGCCAAAAGTTAGACTTTTCGCAACGTTTTCTGAATGTTGCATATGTTACTTTTCATTACTTTTTTTAATGTTGCGAAAAGTTTTACTCTTTGCAATGTTTAAAACAAAATATGGGATTTTGCAACGCGTTTTAAACATGCCAAAAGTTAGACATTTTGCAATGTTTTCTATATTTTGCAATGCTCCAAAAACGTTGCAAAATATGGCCAAAAAACGTTGAAAATAGTTAGACTTTCGTAACGTTTTTTGAACATTGCAAAAAGTAACATTGGCAACATTTATCAAATCAAAACTTGATTACATTAACTAATTGCAACATTCGTTTATTAAAATGTTGCAATAGACCCCTTTAGCAATACTTAATTATCGAATGTAGCTTTATCATTTTTAGTGTACTGTTTTGAAAAAATTTTATAGGTAAGGTGGACGGGGTCGTGATGGGGGTGAGATATTATTAATTGATATATTATTAATTTGGTGGGAGTGGGTGGGGATATTTAATTCTAATTAATTGTATATTATATGTATTATCAATTGAAACACTGAATTCTGAAATAATTTGACAAGTTTGTAGTTTTGAAATATAATTTTTATATGTAGGGGTTTGTTTTCTTATGATTTTGTAAAATGTGAATTTTAGTTGATTTTTTCATTTATAAATGGTTCATAAGTTTTGTGGGTTTGTAAATTTATAAATGGTTTAGCCTCCTTTTGTCAAATTTATAAATGTTTTATAAATATAATTAATAAAAGAAATAACGGTCGATTCCACAAATTGTAAATAATAATAAGTAGTAATCCTTAATTTTAATCTTGATGGAATTTATTCTTAGGGAAAATTGCAGTCAAGATACCAAACTTTTTTTTTATTAGCAGACTTGATTCAAACCTTTCATATGTGCCACCGGAGGTACCAAATCTTTAAAAAATTCGTAGGTCCAATCCAAAATAACAATTTCTGTCTGTTTGACCACCAAAACTATTAGTTGACCCTAGTAACAAAAAATTTCATAAGTTTCCCCAAATAAGGCAAGGACAATTTGGTCAAAACACATTTCTACTATTACTTCAAAAATTAGAAAAGAAAACAAAAACCAAATCAAATTCAGATCAAGACATAGCTCTCGCTTCCGCTCAGTGTCCCAAGCACCGCCTTCTCCCAACCACCTTCACCTCGACCGCCACTGCAGCCATCGAGCAATCCCCTTTTATACAATTCCTTTAGTTGCTTCAAAATCACCTGCTCCTACTTTCCGTAGGTTGGAATCTTCTTTTTTGTAACCAATACATCCGCAGGGTAAATAGAGTAAAATACATAATTGTCATTAGGCACCATCAGCTCCTGCAGAATCATTGAATTGGGTACAACCTCGTTCTTGGAAATCCACGACTCTAACATCCAATTGTCCAACCCAAAATTACCCGATGAACTCAGTTGATGAGTTAATTTTCTATCTTCAATTCGAGTCCCCACGTTATCGCTAGAGCAAGGGTTGACAGTCACGCCAGATGTTCTATGGATACAAGATGTTTAATGCTCCAAACTCTCTCTCTCTTTTCTTTTCTTTTTTCTTTTTTTTTTTGGGACCACGAGAGTTATTTCTTTCAATCTCTATCTTTTTACCCATAATAGGTATTGGTATGTATCCCGATTTTGTTCTTTTACTATCAGTTGACAAGGTCAAAGTTATTCTATTTAATTCTTTTTCATAGATAGTTTTGATGAATAAAAATAAAAGAAAAAATCTTATGATTTTTTTTAATCGTTCGTTGTACAATAAAAAAAGAAGAAGGCTTTTTCTTTTTCTCTGAAGTTAAGCCAGAGAAGGGCTGAGTCGAGCTGCGATCATGGCCGACAGACACTATACAGTTTCCATGGGCATCCCAGTCACAATCCTGGCACAGTATGAGTTTGTCCGTGATGCAGTGGATATTTGGTCAAAACACATTTCTTTTTTGTGTTGATTTTTTTGGCATAATTGAAATGGGTCTGTCTGATTTTCAGGGCGATGGCAGCCGGTGGTGGGGATGATTTTGGTTTGGAGGTGAGAGGGTTGGTGAAGGAGATGAGAGTGAGAGGGTGTGACTTTGTTTTGTCCTCTTTTTTATTTTTTATTTTTTTGAAGTAATAGAAGAAATGTGTTTTGGCTAAATTATCCTTGCCTTATTTGGTAGATATTAATAAATTTGTCGTTACTGGGGTCAACCAATAGTTTTGGTGATCAAACAGATGGAAACCATCATTTTGGACTGGACTTGTGAATTTTTTAAAGATTTGGTACCTTCACTGGTACAAATGAAAGGTTTTGGTCAAATCTGCTAATAAACAAAATATTTGGTACCTTGGCTGCAAATTTCCCTTATTCTTATGTTGAATATTATATATTCATGTTGTAGCTGACAATAAGACTAACGTTATTGAAAAATAGGGCTGGACGTGCTTTCTTGTCTGAGTGTCATTAACGTAATTGTTATTAATTAAAAAAAGAAAAATCTATTTGTACATAATTTTTTGTACATCAAAGTGTCCTCGTTCCTCCACTCACATGAGTGGGTCCACCCAAATATTTTATTATGGTGGACCCCACCATATGTGAGTGGAGGACACCTTAATATACAAAATATTATGTACATTAAGCAAAGTCCATTAAAAAAATTGTATAACTGGAACAAAATAAATGATGTTTAAAAAATATTTTTCAATGCAAGCCAACAGACTCTGCCAAGCTAACGTGATAGGAAAGATAAGACAATATTAGTATTTCGTCTAGATTCAAATTCTTTGTTAGGTGGAGTAACTTGACAAAGTAAATATGTTCTTTCCAGATTATATTTTAGACATGATTCTTTTAAGATAATAAAAAGACACCTAGATGGTCTGTAATTGCAATTGGAGAAGCAAATGTCGAATTGGCACCTTGGCCCTACTCGAGCGCTTAAAACAAATAATGAAGGCCATACGAGGGTTACGTAACAATATAGGCATGCTCTCAAATTGTCTCTAAAGTTTAGAATAACAATATTTTGCAACTGAACTTTGTAATGTTTATCCCATTGGTCATCGAAATCGATTTCGTTAGTAGAAACAAACGATGAGAGCCTAATTTAGTTAATATTGAATTTTGGATTTTGGGTCAAACAATCTTCCTCGGGCGATATGTAAAATAGGATCTGACTTCAATAGATTTTGGACTTAATTGAAGAAAATAAAGTGACCCGAAAAATTCCACGAGACTAGTCCACAGATCCGGTCGAAATAAGAATTAGAAGTGCTTATATTCGAGGTGACACTTTTAATAAGACTAGTTCCTGGCCATGCAATGCATGGCTTGAATTTTGTTTAAGGTGATATTAGTGTGGTGATTTATATTAGTATTGAATTTTTATTGTAATTCACTATTTTTAACTTGTTTCATTTACTATGCTCTAATAAAGATTTTCATGTAGAATTTTTTTTTAGCTGTTTAGATGGAAAATAGTAGTTATACTTTTCAATAGGCAAATTCGCAGTAATAATTTAGTAATAATTTTGTTTTGTGCGTGAAATAGGTTTTTTAAGTGTATATGAAAACTTGGTTATTATTATTTTCTGCAAATTATGTGAAACGTTTGTGCTGTAATTATTCTCAAAGCTCATGACATTTCCCAATGAGTAGCAAAAATAAGTGCAGCAGAATATCTGTTCATAAATATATTAGAAAGTTATATTTAAGGTATAAAATGAGAAATATAAATATGGATTTGCTTTTATTTGTCTTAAATGAGTTGGTAAGAAGTATTTCTCTACGATTTCATCTGCAATAGTTAATAAATAAATTATATTATTATAGATTATTTAACTTAATCTTATAAATATATAGACTGCTAAAGAAATTACTATGAGGGTTAATAAAAATTCTATAAAAATTCATATGATCAATTTTTTTAATCGTTTTATTGAATAATGATAATACATTTAACGAATATATAAATTATTTCAATAATGATTGTATTTAAAACACGTTGAATTAAACTTGTATAGAAAGAAAATTGAAATACAAATGGGATTATAATGATCACTTTCAAAAGTTGAATTAAGCTTGTAGAGAAAGAAAATTGAAATACAAATGAGATTATAATGATCACTTT